GATATGTTGTGTCTGTATTTTCATTTATCTCTAAGAATTTTTTGATTTCCTCCTTTATGTCTTCTGTAACCCATTGATCATTCAGTAACATATTGTTCATTTTCCAAGTGATGTAAGATTTTTCCTTCCTTCTTTTATCATTGATTTCCAGTTTCCTTCCATTCTGATCAGATAAAATGCATGGTATTATCTCTTTATATTTACTAAGTGTTGCCCTATGGAATAATATATGGTCTATTTTTGAGAAGGATCCATGTGCTACTGAGAAAAAAAGTATATCCACTTGATGATGGTTGATATATTCTATATATGTCAGTTAAGTCTAGGTTATTGATTGTGATATTGAGTTCTATAGTTTCTTTATTCAAATTTTGTTTGGAAGATCTGTCCAATGATGAGGAAGGTGTATTGAAGTCACCCATAATTACTGTGTTGTGGTCTATTTTTTTAAAAAACATTTTCCAAGTTTCATTTTGTTACTACTTAAAGTTTTTTTTTTTTTTTTTTAACTAACATAGTCCTGGGGTCTATTTGATTCTTGAACATGAGGAGAGTTTGTTTTATGAACGTTGCAGCACCATTATTTGGTGCATAAATATTGATAATTGTTATGTCTTGTTGGTGAATGGCTCCTTTTAACAGTATATAATGTTCTTCCTTATCCCTTTTGATTAACTTAGTCTTGAAGTCGATTTTATTCGATATGAGGATGGCCACCCCTGCTTGCTTACGAGGACTGTGTGCGTGGTATCATTTTTTCCCAACCTTTCACCTTCAGCCTGTGTATGTCTTTTCCAATCAGATGTGTCTCCTGGAGGCTGCATAGTGTTGTATTTGTTTTTTTAATCCACGTTACCAGCCTGTGTCGCTTTATTGGTGAGTTTAAGACATTAACGTTTAGGGTTACTACTGATATATGTTTGTACTTCCAGCCATGCTTGATTATTTATCTTTTTTTTTAATTTGGTTTGTTTCTCCATGCTTAACTCCCCCCCCCTCGCTTTACTGAGGTACTTCCCACTGTTGGTTTTGGTTATTGTTTATCATTTCTTCTTCGTGTAGTGTTTTTCTCAAAATGCTTTGCAATGCTGGATTTCTGGCTGTAAATTCTTTTAACTTTTGTTTATCATGAAAGATTTTTATTTCATTGTCGTACCTGAAACTTAATTTTGCTGGATACAAAATTCTTGGTGGGCATCCATTGTCTTTCAGTGTTTGAAATAATTTGTTCCAGGATCTTCTCACTTTCAGCATCTCTGATGAAAAATCCATTGTTAACCTTATTGGTTTACCACTGAATGTAATCTGCCTCCTTTCTCTTGTAGCTTTTAATATTTTCTCTTTGTTCTGTATATTGGGTATCTTCATAACATTGTGTCTTGACATTGGTCTACTGTGATTTTGTATGCTAGGTGTCCTGTATGCATCTAAAATTTGTACAACCCTTTCCTTTTTTTATTTCTGGAAACTTTTCTATAATTATTTCATTCAACAGATTGCTCATTCCCTTCATTTGAACTTCTATACCTTCCTCTATCCCGATGACTCTTAAGTTTGTTTTTTTTATGTTATCCCATATCTCTTGGATGTTTTTCTCAGGATTTCTTACCAGCCATTCTGAGTTGGCTAGACTCTTTTCAAGATGATATATTTTGTCTTCATTGTCTGACATTCTGGCTTCTACTTGCTCCACTCTGTTAGTGATACTCTCATTTGAGTTTATAATTTGGTTTATAGTTTCCTTCATTTCTAGGATTATTGTTTGATTTTTTTTATAATCTCTATCTCCTGGTAAAGTTGCTTATTTGCTTCTGTTATCTGTTTATGTAGTTCATTTTCAATGTGTTATTTCATTGTTTGACTTTGCTGTCTCATGTCCTCTTTAAGATTCCATTCCATCTATCTAAGGTATTCCTTGAGTTCTTAATTTGACCATTTTTCTGATGCCTCTAGGTCCTTCTTTATATTTAGACTGGTCTGCATTGTTTGTACTCCTTTTCTTCCTTGCTTTTTCATGCTGCTCATGTTCCTTCCGATTCTGTTTGACCGATGAGTTACTGTTTACTCCTATAAATTTATTTGGTTTTGTGTGTCTCTGGGGTCTCTCTTGTGATGGGAGACTATGACTAGAGATGATGAATTTTGTTGCACTTTAATGCTCATTCATTCATTTCCTAAACTGTGTATGGATTCTGATTGCATATAGTGGTCTGCGGATTGGTCTTGGGACTTATGTTTAGGTCAAGCAATGTGATGGTATTGAGGTTGATATCTCTTGGGAACCTTGGAAGGTTGCTCTACTGACGAAGGATATTAACAGGAGAATGGTCTGGAGTATTTGGGGGTAGCTAGGGAATTGGTAGCACTATATAACACCTCAGAACATTTACCTATACATATTTAGCAAATCACACATAAATAGCGTCATGATGCTTGGGAGGAAAGGTATTAGAAGGGGAGGGAAGAAGTCGCTAAAGAGAATGAGAGTAAACAGGTAGAATTCAAGGAAAGGGGAATACGGAAATTAAAAAGAAATAAAAAGACAAAAGAAAAAATAGAAAATAAAAAAAGAAAAAATTTTTAAAAATAATTAAAAATAAAATAATAATAATAATAATAATAATAATAATAATAAAATTTAAAAATGCAGTCTTAGATTTCGATTAACTTATCTTCCAGTAGGTGGAGCTGTGCCCACCAGGCCAAGCTTCTCCTCTCAATATGCAGGAACCAATCACTGTGAAGTGGCTCCTCCTCCCCAACTCCTAGGCTCTCCTATCCTGAGTGTCTAGGGCCTTTTCTTGTGTCTAGCCACTTCCCCACTTTTCCTCCAGCCAGGCCCCACTCAACGGTAATGCTAACCACAATACTGGCTACACGCCAGGTCTGTTGCTCCTGGGAGTCCTATTTTCTTGAACGACTGGGCACACTCTCCCTGCTTGCCATTCCCTCAGACCCTAAGTTTGTGGAGCATGGGGCTGAGAACCCTCAGCGAATTTTGCCTGCCCTGCTGTAGCCACGCCCCCGGGAGCTGGTGCAAGAGACCTCAGTTGTGAGCACTGGTGGGAGCTGTAGCCAAGATCCCGTGTTGCGGTTTCCGTGTCGCTGCTCCTGATTCCCTGGGTCTGACTATCATGTTCACGGGAGAGCTGGGAGGGGCCCTTGAGGTTTCCCTGCTGTGTGGAGAGGAAGGGCTGGGGGTTACACACCTGCCCCCACTGGTTTCAATGAAGTTATCTCTTCTGTCGCATTCTGGTGATGTCAGTTCTCTGCCATAGCGATATCCCATGCAAATGGCAGCAGTCCGTTCCCTTTGCTGGGTGTCCGATGCAATGGGTAGGTCCTGACTGGCTCTCCTAAGCCCTGTCTCAACCCCGTGGCCACTGCCTATGAAGGCTTAGTAGGTATTAACCTCAAAAGGTTCACGGAGGAGCCAACGAGTTGTTTCTCTATTCGGCGGGACCATTTGTAGTGCTGAGTCACAGCGATTTGGCTGCAAGACGCAGGTCTGGCTTTGAGACGCAGTCGGTCAGCCAGAAACTGTGTACAGGAGCCTGAATTCACTCGCTCCGGGCTTGGCATGTGTTCTGAGGGGCACAGACTGTTCACCCTAGGTCCATCTCAGCTCAGCATTGCCTAGTGATCCTGAGCAAACAGCATTCAGACGGTTTAAGACTCCCTTTGCCCTCACAGCTAAAGAGGACAGAGAATTGATCTCTCCTCGTCTGCCCCCATGTTGGAGTGTTTTTCGTTTAATTTTGAAACATGATCTCCCTAAGATGCTGAGAGCCTTTCTAATTTGCTGAGACTGGCTTGGAACTTGTAATCCACCTGTTGTGTTCAAAAACAGAGTAATACTGAAACCTGTGACACTCAAATATTTAAATATTCATATGTTTGGTCTTTGAGTTTATCAAAAGCTTTCAAGTGTCCAAACATGTCAACAGTACAGATTTTGTATGAATGTACCCATGTACCATGATGTTCAAGGATCAGCTGCATATGGTATTTACTAAATCCTACCAGGTGGTTCTTTGAGGTGATCTTTTGTTCCTCTGAAGCTTGGACAGGAGCTCAGGAACTTGTGGTTCTGGAAGAAGCAAAGGTTGGAGCTTGGCAGGTGTGTGTCTTGCCTCTCTGGAATGACAGAGCACCAGGGTGGATAAAGATTAAGATATCAGCCATATTTCCTGGGTGCAGACCAGCTCTGCCAATCTACATGTGACATTTACTTAATACACAAGTATGTCAGTTTCCTTTTCTGTAAGTTGGACATGATAATAATCATCATAGCAGAATCTGCATGCCACTGCACTGTGCTCATGTATGCCTGACTAGGAGTCCATACTCCCCAGCATCAGCCATTGCCACTACTGGAGTTGACACCTCTCCTCAGGTGCAGTACAGATGGACAGGAAAACAGAAGCAGCCAGGGCTATTTCATTCTCCTGGGATTTTCTGACCACTCTCACCTGGAGAGGATCCTCTTTGTGGTCACCCTGGTAGCCTACCTGTTGACCCTGGTGGGCAACAGCACCATCATCCTAGTGTCTTGGCTGGATCCCCTGCTCCTCACACCCATGTACTTCTTCCTCACCCACCTGTCCTTCCTGGACATCAGCTTCACCACCAGCTCCATCCACCAGCTGCTCCACAACCTTCGTGGCCATGATAAGACCATCAGCTATGTGGGCTGCATGGTCCAGCTCTTCCTGTTCCTGGGCCTGGGTGGATTGGAGTGTCTACTGCTGGCCATCATGGCCTATGACAGTTTGTGGCCGTGTGCAAGCCCCTGCACTACATGACTATTATGCATCCACAACTCTGCCTGGGCTTGGTGTCTGTGGCCTGGAGCTGTGGGATGGCCATTTCTTTGATCATGTCACCAATGATGTTGTGGCTACCTCGATGTGGGCATTACAAGGTAGACCACTTCCTGTGTGAGATGCCTGCCCTGATCCGGTTGGCCTGCATCAGCTCTGCTGCCGTGGAGGGCATCGCTTTCATTCTGGCTGTGGGCATTGTGCTGTCTCCCCTGGTCTTGATATTGGTGTCCTATGGCCACATCGTCAGGGCTGTATTCAGAATCCAGTCATCCTCAGGAAGACACAGAATCTTCAACACCTGTGGCTCCCACCTCACCGTGGTCTCCCTGTTCTACTGGAACATCATTTACATGTACATGCAGTCAGAAAGTAGGTCCTCCCAGGACCAGGGCAAGTTCCTCACCCTCTTCTACAACATTGTCACCCCCTCCTGAAACCCCTGATCTACACCCTCAGAAACAAGGAGGTGAACGGGGCACTGAGAAGGCTGCTGCTGGGGAAGAGAAAGGGGAGCAAGGAGTGAGGGCCTGAAGAATTTCATGTATCCAGCCTGAAGCAGCTACAGTGGGCCACTATGGTCTCTGAGCTGTGGAGCAGTGGAGGTGTCAGCCTGCAGGTCTCAGCACCCTTGCATTGCTGGCCTTCTTGAAGTCTGTTTAAGGTCAGCATTTTGAGTTCTATGAGAAAACAGCTCAGGTTCTGTCATCAATACCCTAGATGTCCAGATCTGACCCCACCAACTCATACCAGGGCCATGCTGGAAGCAGCTCCGCTCTGAGTCCTGCTTCTGTTGTGTGTTTTTAATTCACAATAGTGCTCTCAGCATTTTATCTAGAATCTCTGAGATCATTCAGGGCTCTAGGTGTGAACCACTCTCTCTTTCTAGATGGCAATAAATGCTAAGTTCAGTGGGGTTTGGTATTTTCTCTTCTCATATTCTCCAACAGATTTACATAAAATTATGTCTTTTTATGACCTTTGTCACTGGACAGATGGATGAGGATTGTAAGAACAAGGATAAGAGCATAACTATAAAATGGACCCACTGCTAACCCCATATGCTTTCTTTGCCCAAAATCATTTTTTCTGCACCTGTGCCTGGCCTAAGTCGACAGGATACGTCACATTCCACAGCAAACTACCTGCTATCTGCATGGATATGCAAGTAATAATGAACATTAATGGGAGTAACTTTCATGACCCTCTTTTTTTCAGAGCAGATTCTGAAAGATAAGGTTAACTTTTCCTGCCACAGTCTGGCTGTGCACAAAATCACGAGCCACTCAATCAGGAATAAACTATATTTTTGAAACTGCCGCCAATACCCCATACACGTCCAGGAAGAAAGCCGATCCACACATGCGGCGGCATTCTCCCGGAAGCCCAGAACAAGTTCCTCCACCAGAATTCCCTCCTACTGTACTTCCCCAACCAATGGGAACTCTCCAGGAGTCCCGTAGCAGGTGGAGGTGAACAACAGGAGTCCAGTATCCATATGAATGCAAATCTTAACATAATCATATCATCTCAATGGCTATCTGGCGTCACCTTTCAACCAAAAGTACCATGCATCATATTACTTGGCTGTGGCTCTTAGCATCTGCCTCCCTCTGTTTAATTAAGCAACAGGCAATGTGGCTAGGGACCGTGCCTGTTAGGTTTGTCCAATTCAACATATGGTTCTTACCCGTCATCAGAAAACTGACCTCTAGGTGTCAGCCTCCTGTCTTAGGTTGATACGACTGCAACTGGATCATACCCATCACTGACTACCGGTCCAGTATATAGCCATACCTGTGGATAGGCCTATGCACCAGTGTGGGGGTGAGGTTCTTTGCCTCACCTCTGTTGGCCCCCAAATTTGGCCTTGGTGCTGGTGGTGGGGGGGGGGTGAGGTTCTTTGCCTCACCTCAGTTGGCCCCCAAAATTAGACTATTACTAGTAGAAGGGAGAAGGATACAGAAATGCCACGACATCAAGTCAATTGATGGCTCCTTAGGAAAAATTGTAACACTGGTGACACATCAGCAAAGATACACCAGCACTACCATAATTCACTGTATCAACAAATAGAGCACAATGCATACAAGTGATACACAGTCCAGGCAAGTTTTGTAAGCAGTTCAAAGCGGAGGAATCTATCAATATGTCCATTTCCTCCCAAAATAAATCGACTCAGTGATTGAGCATTACTTGTTGAGTTATTATTCATTGATGCATCAGTTTATACAGTTTGTTGTGATAATTATCGAAGAAGTTGTAGTTTGGTTTCATCTTTGTCTTCACCTACACTGGGATGAAAATAGGGATTTTGACAATGATGTTAAAAAATGTAACATTTCAACAGGTATTAAGAAAACAATTTTAGAACAATTTACATTATCCTGAACAGAATTATTAAATATAATGAAAAGGAAAGGTGAAAGTAAACAAACAGATGTGTTAACCTGTTTATTTGTACACATATTAAAACAATCTTTAACATCTGTTTACCAAATTTAAATTAAACCATTAAAATCACATGAATTATAAAAAAATTTGGATCCATTTATTTATGAGCGCTTCTCATATATGATATATGGACATATGCACATACATACAACACAAAACAAAAGTGTGCACATGTAACATACAACACATAAGACAATAGTAAAGGCCTTGTAGCTTTACCTAGGTGAAATTTCCATTGCAATGTTTAAAAACTCCATAGTCAAAAAATAAAACTGTTCAGAAAAACATTAACCTAGGTCTGTATGAGCTCAAAAATAAAATAGAACTTTATGATGTGGGAAAAAGCAATAATAAAATAGATATTGAAAAAACCATCCTGGTTAATCACTGTTGCAGATGTAAGAATAGCCAAGCTGGAGTTCTGGATATGAGCTGTTATGGATTTGAGTCAAATCATCTTCCTTTTGGTCTGTAGAAATTGTTTTGGTTAACCTCTCTAGAATCCAAATCAGCTGCTGTTTTCCCTGAGGAAAGACACAAACAGAGCCCGGACTCCAGACTATCACTGGGTCAGGACCTTTCCATTGTCCTGTTAGAATATCCTCCCAAAGTACCTTAGACTTATGTACATTTTTTGGATACAAATGTCTTTCCACAGCACTAAGCCCTGATGAATCCAAATTTTAAAAGTTTAGAGTAAAAAGGGTTATTTTAAGTTTATCTTTGGGGGATATATACCCCTTTCCAATTCC